AATGGGATCAGCAGCTAGAAAAGATTTCGAAATTCTCAGTTTCCGATGAATTAGACGTGAAAGATATCGATTGGCTTAAAACTGGTTAGTACATTACAGTACTTATACGGGCTAAAGATACAGTTTTTTGCAATTATATTATGTATTAATGTTTTCCAAAAATATTCCGGTGATGTTAAAAGCAGAAATTAAAGATGAAAAATCTCTTCAGTTCTATCGTGGATTGAGGTGGTTCGGTCTGTCATTGACCGTACCTTGTTTCCTGCATACATAGCTAACATCTACACGATAGCTACACGAAGATGGCAGAACTCACTTATATTTTGGATGGTGCTCAGTCTTCTAAAAGATATCGTTTTGGAAGTCGTCGTCATTATTATTACTTTCTTACAATGGCACAAGGGAAGCGTTTCGACATTGCTTTTCATCGAGTTTATCACAGAAAAAACAATATGGCTAGGTAAATAACAAATTTTTGTAATCAAAAAAGAAAAATGGCGCATAATTACGTAAAATAATATTGCAAATAAAAAAATGATTTTTTTTTCTTATTTAAACTGATGACTTTTGCGTAAATCTTTCCAGCTATTTCGACTGGCAAATGGTGGACAATCCTCAAGTGGTACACGCAGCTGCGAAGAGAGTCGAAAATTCGTAGGTTCGCGAGAATTACGCGAAGAAGCATCGCGAGCATTCCCGGAAGAATCGGTCATTCTTTAGATGACGAGTGTCTTGATATAGCGGCAGTCAGACGGAACAAGTACGCGAGTCTACTGAATCTGAACAAGCTTGCAGAGAAATCGTCTAACAAGATTAATTTCGTCAACTTACGAATTTCCAAGTCGTTGACTTCGGTTATTAACAATGACAGTCACGATTCGAATGATACGAACGACTCGAGTGTCAACGATTCGAGTGTCAACAATTCGAGTGTCAATGACTTGAGCGTGACAGAAAAATCGATGAAGCTGCTGGGTATAACTGCGGAGGACGTAATGGACGCATGCGCCAGAATACAGGAGCGATTTTACTGGAATGAAGAGGATGTAATAAAGAAAACACCCGAAGCGAAGGAAAAAGTAGTGGCACAATTTTCCCTGGAAAAAGTTGGAGAAGAAATGGATGATGCTTTAGGAAACAAACGGAAAAATAATATAGAAAAAACTGCGGATCGTACTTTGAAAGAGGAAGACATTGTGAAAGATTCTCAAATAGAAAAAGACGGGAGGAAAAATAAAGAAAAAATTAACGATGCTTTAAGAAGTAAACAGACGACAAAAGATGTAGAAAAAGCTGTGGATTGCAATTTGATGAAGGAAATCATTATGCAAAACATTCAGATAGAGAGAGAAGGAGAAGAAGATAATAACAAAATTATTTCCGTTGATAAGAAAGAGCAGATCTTGATTGACGAAAAGCAAGATGTTTCATTGACAAGAGGTAGAGATGTTACACCCGATAGAGTAAATAATCGCGCGAAATCAACGGAGTCTCATGAGCTTCAAGAAGACGCATCATCGAGAAAGAAAAAAAGAGGAGAAAGAGCAGAGAGGCTGGCAAGAATTGAGCATTGTCCTTTGTCTTCTGTCGAGTGCAAACATGCGAGAAATATGGAAGCCAAGCCATGCGCTTCTTTTGTGAGGAAACTGGAGGCGAAACTTCGCCCTATTTCTACAAACCAGAAGGAAAGATGGCTCGACCAACTCGATCGAAGAAAACATCCTTATCGAGGCAAGCTAACGCCAACCGGTTCGGACGCAAACAAGAAAGAATGCCATAAGAACTCGAGAACGTCATTGTGCGCGTGTCATCGTGCCTCGAAGAGAAATACCGACGCGTCGAGAAACGGCAAGTACGCGCGATCAATCGATATCAATGATAAAAATATAAAACATGACATCGATAAGAAAGAATTTAGACATTTTTTATCCATCGTCAATAAACAGAAAGACAAGATCAACGGACGTGATTCCACGTTCAAGTATTCGGAGGCGTACCGTTTAAGGAAACAGATGCAAAAGTTCGAAGGATTTCCCACGAAGCAGACGATTGCCTGGGGAAGTATATCCTTAGCCCAAACTGCGCGACCCTCGGGATACACGAGGGATGTCGTCGCGACTGATAAACCGCCCGGGATTTGTCAAAGGGACGTTCAGACCGAGGCTTGTGACGAATCGAGCGATTCCTTGAACGCGCGAAATAGATCGGAACAGAGGGTACGAAGTAGACAATCGATCGATCCACGTTTCATTTACAACTCGTCGCTTACGGAAAAAAATTATGCGAGATCGGAGAAACGCGAGACGAAAACTTCAGAAACTCAGAATGATCTTACGTTGTTGGCGAGTAAGAGAGGGATGAAAGCCAGAAGAAGACACGATTTGTCGCCGAGTCGCAAACTGTCGAACGAGGAACGCGAAGCCGTGGAGCTGAGAGCTCTGAGAGCCTTTAATGAGCTTACTCTGTTGGAGGATAAGAAAAAATTGGAAGAGAAAAAGAATCGCGAGTCATCGTTGAATTTCGAACAATCGACAGGGGAATCTGAAGTGACAGAGATGAAAGTTTATAAATCCTACAACGACCTTACTTTGCTGGAAGAGCGAAAAGAAATGAATGCAACAAGAGGGCATAATTCGAGTTGCAAACAATCAATCGAAGAATCAAGCGCTTTAAAAGTTTGCAACGAGTATATATCGGAAGATAAGGAGGAATTGAAAGCCGAAGGGAAACACGAGTCGAAATACGAAACGCCAAAGAGATACGAGGAAAATATCGAAACTTCCACGAGCGTTTCCAATTATATTCCGGAAGTTAATCGCGAAGAAATTGGGAACAGCAGCTCCGAGCTAAACGAGCGTCACGCTGAACAAGCGTGCATGTCACTGAATCTCAGGGAGATCACGAGGAACATCGAGTGGAGCTTCCATCCTCGGGGAGTTATACTGACCAACAAGAACCTACACCGTCAATTTCTGGAGAACGAGAGATCCCGAGAGAGCCAGCAACGGGACATCGTCGACGACAATGTCGCCAGCATTTTGCACAGTGCCTTCTTCTTCAAGCCCGAGATCGTGACGAGGATCTTCCGGCGCGCTCAAACTAGAATCGGAGAGTCCCTCCCGAGTTTCCCGACATTCTGCCGCGAGGACCTCAACGCGGAATTCGTCTGCCGGGTTAACAACGAGACGGTCGTGCAATGGGATCGGGATTCGTCGTCGTTCGACTTTGATCTTGAACGGATAACAGACCGAGGCAATCTTGGAAGTTTATCGTTTCCCGATGCCAGGGGCAATCGCGTCGCCGGAGAGGACAATCGCGACTTGTGCATAATATTTATCGATCAGGAACAAGCGTCCCATGAATCGGAGACCGCGATTATAGAGGATTCGACGACTATCGGATCCCAGGAGGACACGCGCTCGAGCGTGGAAAATATTGAAACGACGAATATCCTTTTGGTGTGCATATTAAGGGACTTTGGCATCGAAGTATCGGAGGAAAGTGTCCATGACGTCACGTCATCGGCCGAGCGGATCGAGGAATATGGAGATATAAGTAACGTCATTGCAAACAACACCGATTTTCCATCATCAAACTTTACCGCGATTAATACAAGCCTTGAGGAAGAAGACAGGCGTGAAGATACCATCTTGTTACATCAACAGATTTTGCATGACAATTCGAATGACAGTCGACCGGATGATATAGACGTCACGTCATCTGTCAACTCGCTGCATGATAATCCTTGCAATTTGCCAGATAAAAAATATATAAGTGCAATCGACGTTTCTTCTGAAAAGATAATATATGAGAATAATTCGTCTCTTAGAGACGCTGATAATACAACCTCGCAATTATCTAATAGTAGTAATAATAATCAATTTGACACATTATTTAATAAAAGCGAGAAGAGTATATCTAATCGCATTCCTGAGAATGCTTCGCAATTGTCTTCATCATTTATTAAAGAGAATAATTTTAATCAATCGATGCTAAGATCAAGTGATGAAGAAGAACTGCAAAAGTTGACGCAACTTTCGGATAGCGAAGTTACGTTAGAAAATCATAGAAGAGAGTCAGTAATGAATTTAGAAACAACAAATAACGATACGATATCGCGATCTGAGAATGTCGAAACTTTAAGTTTATTAGAAACGATGGTACGAGGCGTAAGAAACGAAGACGAGGATGGAGATATTTACGAGAAGGCAAATATATTTTCGATTCATCGATTTTTCAGGGCGGATCAAGAAGATGAGAGTCTGCAACAAGATGATAGCTTTTATTCCATGTTCGAGAGAAACGACGACGACGGTACGAAAACACCGGTTTCATTAGGAGATGGCAGTGTGATGGAAGAGTTTTCAAACAACACTATATCGGAAACATCATCAAATACTTCTACCAGAAATTCTGCACATTCTTAGTAACGGAAACTGTGTAAATCATTTGATATAATTAAAAATTAATTAATGTAATATAGAGAAGAAAGATAAGATACTGTAAAATTACAAGCTTGGATAAATTGCAATTTTCCGCTATTAAAAATCACAGATATGTTTTACCAGACATCAAAATTATAAAAAAATATTGTATGAATATTACAATAATATTTGAAAATTTGACAAATATGGTTATATAAAATATTTTTTTATAATTATTATATTATAAATAACTGGGGCATAAAAATTAATTGGAATATTATGCATGCTATAGAAAAACGTATTTCTATAAAATAAAAAATTTATGTACATGCAAAATATACTTATATGCTAGAAATTTTATATATGATAAACTAGTCATTGGTAATTGGATTAAAAGAAAGTTCTGCATTACTTATAATAATATTTAAATAATGTGTTGCATATTTATATTATACAAGGACGTATTCACTGAATCGTTTAATTCAGTTCGTCATATTTTATAACTCGCGATAATCATAAATATACGAAATAACTTAAAATAAAGAGAGAAAGAAAAGAAAATTTTAGCAAGATTTTTTCAGCAATTGTCGTCGAGGCTCGGATCCGAGTCAGGAACTACGTAATTAGGATCGCAGACGGTGTCTCTGACAGCCTGCTTGACGTTCGCTTTAAGTATCCTGTAATTAATCTTTCCGCTGTTCAGAGTACCGTACAAATACATGGGCAACCGATTCGAGAGCAGCCACACACTTTGCTCCGTCTCGTGATCCACTTTAATGTCGTTCGGAAACACCAAGGACACGTTGCTGGTCCCAATCACCCCCAAATTTTGGGGTATGTACTCCTTTCTAGTATCCCAGCACCAGACCGAGTCTCTCGTGACCATGTTGAAGAACATGACGCCGTCCCGATCGATCGCAGACCCCGAGGAATGGCCGTAGTCCTTGGCTCTGGGTCTACCCACAGGCATGAACTCCTCCGTGTTTCGATCCACGGTTCCCTTGTCCCTGAAGATCGACGTGGATACGGCGAACTCTCGGAAACTGGACATTGGATGGAAGAAGAGGGTTCTGTCGCCGCGAATGTCCACGGGACTGAGCGCGATCCCGAATATTCCATCGGTCCATTGAAACTTTATACCGTGCAGCTCGTACCTGGACGCCAATGGATCGGGATAGAAGAAGTGATGCTCGACTCGGAAAGTGGTGTCCTTGAAGAAGTCGTACACCACGATACCGTATCGCCATACGTCGCTCAGGTAAGCCACCGCGGAGCCGCAATCGTTGTTCCTGATGTCAACCGCGATGTTGATGTATAGGGAATCTTGCTTGATCTGTTCGTCCGGTAGGGTGTACTTTCTGATGAGATTGTCAGTGTGCAGATCAAAGATGAATATGGCAGGTGGGCATAATTGCTTGGATCTTATGGTGAGCTCCGTCTTGCCGGAGTCGAGGATCCACAGTCGATCGCATTCGTCCACTTGGACTCGGAAGACAGATGTTAATCTCTCGCAGTTTTCTAGAATTATAAACACGTAGAATAAAAAATGCTGAAATAGTTTAAATAATACCAGATTTCACGGAAAATTCATATTAAATATAAAAATTCTATATTTTTCAGTAAAATATATTTTTTTATTCTTTAGTAAAAATATTTTTCTCATTTTTTTTTTTTTTTGCTCAACCGTTTGCTTACTTTCTCACAAATTAGTTTAAAAAATTATCCAACAGTTTACTTTTGTTTCGAACGAGAAATAATAGAAGGTTCGTTTATTATCGCGAGAGATAATTCATGGGAAATTTATTTACTCAGTTTCCGTACTTTCCCGATTGCGTGATGATAATCTCATATTGTTTCTTACATTTTCACACTCTTTGTTCTAATTTTACACAAATATGATTTAATCCATTCTCGGAGAAAATTGTCATTAACCATTGATGATTTTTCTTTTAAGTAAACAATGTATCCATGCATGTTTGCGTCAACTGTATTAATGCGATCTCTAAAAGCATCTTTTTTAAATTCTTGATATATTTCGAGACATCTCCGTTGCTTTCTGATTAGATTTAAACTCGTAAAGCAGAGCAGAGCAGATTTTTACAGTACGCATTCAAGATTCTCGATTAATTCGATAATAATTCACATAATTATTTTATTTTATTCTTTTGTTTTGTTTTTTCTTTATAACTTGTTATGTCTGTCTTTTTCTCATTTATTTTTTCTCATTATCTTATTCTGAGTTTTTGTTGATGCTGAAATTGTTATTACATTTTCTTTCTTTTTTGTTCTAAAGGGATCTCTTTCCCGTTTATAAATAAATAAATAAATGAATAAATAAATGAATAAATAAATAAATAATCTTAAAGATAAACAAGTGACGCAACTGTTATGATATATATATGTATAGCAAAAACAATTATTAAATATAATCACATCCATAGAATAAGATCTCCTGGAGCAAGTTCTTCGACATGATTCTAACAATTAACGTAAAAATCACCTGACTGATGCCACTGCCAGTTAGGGTACGGTCTTAGTTTGGGATTCCTTTTCTTGGAATGTTTCGGCACAGTAGCCAGAGTCACCGGTATTCCAGTCTTCCATTTTGGCAGAGTAATAAAGACTTTATCGCGCCAAACATCCAGGCCGAGAGGCAAATTATTTTCCGCGATGTAGTCGCCGTCGAATATAGCGTTGTCTCTCGCCTCGGTACTATCGAATTCAAAATCAATCGTGGACCAGGCGTACATCTGTTAGAAAAAAATAATAGATTGTAAATAATACATAAGTTTGTCAAAAAAATCTTCAATATATAACTTGACAATCTACTGTATATATATATATATATTAGCCATTTCGAATTGTAATTATCATATAATAAGATAATTTGTCGTTAGCAAAAACATACATTTTACTTCTATAAAAATTTATTCTACATAACATAAACCCTTTAGAAATTTTTTTATTGTTTCGATATATCGTATGAATAATAGATTTAAATGTGAAATGCAAAAGAAACTTTTATGGAATTTCTGACAAATAAAATAGATACGCATCGCGATTATGAGATATATTAATCAGTTATTTACTTATAAATGTTATTTGCTTTTATCGCAAAAATCACTCTCATTAAAAAATAATTTGCAATGCATTTTAATAACTTGAAACCACGAAATGATCTATAATTACTGATAAAATACGGAAATTTAATGTTATATCTTGTATAGCATGGAAAACATTGTAGTAATTAAAACTTATTAAATCTTATATATAAAATAAATATTAAATATATATTAAGAGATATACGGCAGATATCAAATCATATAAACAAATTTTTTAGTCGCGAATTATAGTGAGCTTCAATTGCGAGAGCTGTTCGAGCGATTTTCCTCACTTTCGACGTCATAATGCAAAACCTGCTGACGCAGATATTGCGGAATCTCGGACTGCGAATTCTCGCCTAAAAATTTTGCAATAAAAAACGTTGCACTCACTAGTTCCATAGCGGGCCCGACGTAGTCATCCGCAATGTACCCCGGCTCGAAACCGTCGCCGAAATCATGAAAATCCAATTGATTGACCGAGTGAGGATCCGTGCGGAATGCATCAATAGCTCTTCCAACATGTTTCGAAAGATCGCTTCCTCCTAGATTGGATGTAGAAACGCGATGTCGCGTTAATTGCGGTGTCGATCCATAAAGATTGTCTACGTTCGGGGGTTTCTTTCCCGGCGGATTACCGTAAGAGTCACAATTTCGAGAGTCAGCATTTTCATCAGAAGCCGATGTAGAACCTCTATGATTGATGGGCTGTGATTGATCAACGCGCGAGACAAATTATCATTAGATAAGATGTCAGTTTATAAGCCGAAGAATTTAATCTGATTTACAAATATATAAATAATTTAGATTTGTTCGCGCGCATAAGTAGATAATCGATAATATTATATATATCATATATTTTTAAAACACAAATATGTGTTTCAAACTTCAACATTTTTTTACAAAAGAAATTAGAAAGAAATAGTTTTATAATTTTGATATTAAATTTTCCGTTTCCCCTTATTTTTCTTACATGCATCGAAGAGAATCGTGAAGTCAAAATTGATGAAGTTAATGGCAACGCAGGTGCTTGAAGATCCCTGGATAAGATACTGGGACCCGTATGAACCGCAAATTTTGGAACACTTAATAGTGATATTGACAACAACCATGGTAACATGCTCGCCATATCTGTGAAACAAAATTTTAGAATAAATGCATCTTTTTCCTTTAATAAACTTTACATTCTAATGACGCTAAGTTGCGCGTCAAATTACTTATTACAATCTGTCGTATGATTATATCGTTATTAAGTAATGAAACGAAAGAGAGTACATGAAAGTAGGTAGAGGGACAAAGCTAAATGCTCTTCGTACAATTAGAAATTCAGTGAAATTTTTGCAACGTTACATACATTGAAACCTGCTGCAACATTATCTCCTTTATCGAGGTAAGTGGGCCTTTACATTCGCGAGGTAATCGTCAACATTCGATGGATGCATCGTGTGCTCGATTAAATGATAATTATCTGTCAACGTGTGACATGACGATAACGTATGAGATAGCGGCGCGTATTAATACGAAGGCAAGAAAGTGATTTACGAAGATGAATCTGCCATCGTTCCTACTTACTTCGCGAGCGACGATTACGGTTGTAGCGATTCGAAATCCTGCGAGAGCAGAGAAACGACGAGACTATCGCTTTCGCCCTAACGATACACTGTGATACAGATGCCTAGCGCGAGGAAGACGATTGCTCGAGATAGCACCATGAATGTTACGCGACTACCATATTCACCATCCGGGTCGTAAGTGTGTCTTGGAGATCCTACGAAAGGAGAGAATGGCGAATCCCTTCTCTCCGAAGATGATTTTCCCTCTCGTTCGTATTGCGACTTCGGGCTCCAGTCGCGGTATAGGTCATTGGCGGATGGGTTCATGGGAACTCGCGCATCTGCTTGTAAAACTGCATCAATGCATCGGGAATAGGAATCGAGGACATCAAACAGAAACGCGCGCAACGCCTTTTATTCGCGATTTAATAATAAAAAAGACGTACGTAATTTGTCAGATTTTTTGGTCTCGTTTTTTTGAAACCATCTATTAAAAACGTTGGATGTTAACTGTTCTATGAAATTTTTGACAGTTATCAATTTTGTGAAAATTTCTAGGAAAATTGCTTCTTAAATCAGTATGTTAGAGCATTTAGAAGTTTGAAATAATTATTTTAAAAATGTTTATATAATATTTTTTTATTGTAACTTGTTTTAAATAGCCCTCTCACAGATAGAAAAATATATTTTTAAAACTAGTTTATTATATAAGCATTTTTGTCTTAGGATAGTTTAGTTTGCTTATTTCCCTATAATGTAATTCTTGAGCATTTTGAAGAAATTGTATTTATGGCTTTAGTGTCATGCAATTATCGTGTATGTTCCGCAATGTGAAATTTCGATACTTCTGGGCCTTATGCAAATAAAAAAACCGCTCTGTACATTGCGTGAGTATTTTTCATGAAAACCACTTTACGGCACCAGCGAGCATTATAATTACATTCTTTACGAGGCAATATCGGGCGTTTCTTTTTGTTATGGCAGGTTCCCAAATGAAACTCGTTTGAATTTTACGGTACAGTAACAGCAGTGCAGATTTCGTGTTTGCGTTGTAATTCAATTGCCCGCATATTTTATACAAAAAACATAATGTTGTTCTAAGGTTCAGCGCGCGTCTGTTTTCTAAAATTTATCATTTAAAAAAAAAATTAATAATTCCTTTTTTTCATTTCTTGCGATTCAAAGTCATTTACGATCAAAATACCTAAATGTGATTAGATAAAATGTAATTTACAAAAATAAAAAACAATGATGACAAATTATTTGATAATTAAAAATTATTAGTAAAATTAATTATTAATATTATTAGAATTAT